CGAAGAATTGGTGAATATGGTCTACTGTATTGGTGAAGCTAACAGAAATTCTTTATTAGCAAGCAGAATCTATCATCAAAAATATCCAGAAGCAAGAACTCCACGGGTGTCTGCATTCCAAAAGTTAAGAGATCGGTTTGAACTCACTGGTGATGTATCTTATACTAAAAAGGAGATTGTTGGTGGTCGACACAACGAGGAAAATGAGTTACAAGTTTTATTGATGCTACAGGAAAATCCTCACGTAAGCACTAGGAAAATAGCAGCGGAAACGGATATTTCACAAAGTAGTGTGAACAGAATAATATTAAAACATAAGTTCCACCCTTTTCATCTGAACCTACATCAAGAATTGTATGGTGATGATTTTGCAAATAGAGTTGCGTTTTGTATTCAAATGAATGGCATGATTGACGAGGATCATAATACTTTGAACAAAATTCTGTTTTCTGATGAAGCAACATTTAAAAACATCGGATCGGTCAACAGACATAATATGCATTATTATGAAGTCGAAAATCCTCACTGGTTGAGGACAGTTTAAAAAAGTGTGTGTTTAAAAGTGTTTTTAACCGCCAGCTTAGTTGCAAAGCAACCCTCGAAAGTCAGAGACTTGTGTGAGTTAAGAAGTTGATCATCAACAGCGATGGTCGCTTAATGTTTGGGGAGGAATTATTGGAAATCACATTATAGGACCATACTTCTTCGATAATGTGCTGAATGGTGAAAGGTATTTACATTTTCTTCGCGAAAATCTTCCCAGATTGTTAGAAGAAGTGGATTTGAATACCCGAAGAACCATGTGGTTGCAGCACGATGGTGCTCCAGTGCATAACCATAGAATAGTTCGAGAATTTTTAGATCAATCCTATCCTAATCATTGGATAGGCAGAGGAGGTACTATTCTTTGGCCCGCGCGATCCCCAGACCTTACTCCTATAGATTTCTTCCTTTGGGGGTACGTGAAGGAAAGGGTTTTCAGAGATCGTCCGACAACTGCAGATGATATGAAAAATAGGATCACGGAAGCCTTCCGTGCAATTGATGGAGCAATGCTTGCTAGAGTTCGGGACTCATTTACAAGAAGACTAGAAGCTTGTGTGGAACAGGATGGTGGCCTATTTGAGCATTTATAAGTAGCCTTTCCTCAAAATTTACACATGGTTTTCTGTTAATCACTCTTTCCTGTTCCTATAAAAATTACTAGAATTGTTTTGTTTGTGATGTACTCCTGTTTCAAAAACATATCCTTTTCATAATTGTATGGATATTTTAAATTTTACGACAGCGGCCTACTAGATTCCTCAAAAACCATCCACATTTCTTATTTTGCAACATATTTCGCAAACTTCACAAAGTAGACCCCCCACAAACCCTATATCGACGGAAAGCTCTCAAAGAATGCCATCCAATAGTGCAATGAAATACAGGGTGTTCCATTTCAAAAAGTCGAGTTATTGCCATTTGAAATTTGTCATTTAAAAAAAAAACGTAGTAGGCGATGGAACATCGTCTTCGAGTTCGCTTGCATTTCAAAAGATTTGCTGAAGCTTGAGGAATCGACTGGAAATAATTTGGTTGAGATATCTTGCATGGTTCTGAAGTTATGAAAACCCGGGTGCGTTATATCGACAATTTAGTAGCGAATCCAAAAATGTAACAAAAATGGGTGGTTGCCATTTAAAAAAACAGAACTTAGTTATGTATTTTATCTTGGGACATCCTGTATATAAATGAAAATATTTTCAGAATGTGCTTCATTGTTGGACCTATCGTTTGAAAAAAAAATCAAGTCGATAGCTTGGATAGAAGAAAAGTTATGGACCAAGCACGCACCCCTGGGTCACCCTGTATATAATATGCAAATGTAGGTTTGTCTATATTTTTCCCGGTCTAACAATTGGGTTGAAAGGTATAAACAGGTATTTTAGTCCTAGTTATTTTCACCTACTTGTTTAATCTATAAATGAGACATAAAAATAAGCGCTGTTTTATTGCGAACACAGTGATATAGCCCACGTGTGTCCTGAATGACAGTCGTGGAATTTTGAAAAATAAAATTTTAGTGCGACTGTGAACCTGCGTCAAAGAGTTCCGAGAGACAAATATCGACCTTACTTCGGATCTTAGACTATAATATGCAGGCCAATGCTTTAATTTTTGAGATAATCGATTTTTTATGATTTTAAGATTTCAAAATTACAAATGAAGTCAGACTCTCACTCCAAGAGTTGCCATTCATTGTAGATGACGTTGTCGTGCGTCATTTTGAAACGGCTTGGCCGATTTGTACAAACGAAGTGGTGTTGGATAGAGAATCGAAATGCCTTCAAAACAAGGTACCATGTGACCCCTCTTTATATTTAAAAAAAAAGTTAATGGTGCCCACTAGACACAGGTCACATGACCACACCCATTTTCATGCCAAATAGTAGTAAAATAGGTGCCCTTCTGCCTGAATTCTACCCGACCTCGCTAGCTCATTCCGTTCAAAGGTTAAAGGGGGGGGGGAGGACTTTTTACGGCCTCACTGTATATATTTTTAGTCTCTTGGACCGCACGAAAGGAAATTCCTATAATGTTTGTGGAACATAAAATATCATGACTATATTTGGCGATGCGATTTGGCAGTTTAAGCGCAGCAATATTTACAGCACGGGAGCATAAATATTCCGAAGCAATCGACATTAGATGGCAGGAGAAACGTTTAATTCTAATCACGCTGTAATTTCCTACGATTTTGAAGATCAGATTGGCACATAATTCGCAGCAGCAACACACATAAGAGTAGGCCGCGAAGTAACTTTTCGTGCAATCATATGCAAAGAGAGTATTTCGCGTTCTCTACACAGTACGCGAAGTACAACTTTGCAGCCGTTACCCATAGCAGTGACCGAAAAACCAAAGCCCAATTCCGAATTTGACATTCCTAAACTACGACAATAGGAAGGTGATTCAGTGTCAGATCATATTTTCGTTTTGTCAAGAACTGTCAAAATATTTTATATTAATTGAAAACGTCATTTTGATTATTTAGTTCGCGGCCTAGGCACACAAATAACCATTTTGACGTGCCAAATGAAAATATGATCTTGAGGCCGCCAAAATGTTTCGCGGCCATGGTATACACTGGTATACACTGAATTATCGAACTAAATAACTGAAATGACATTTTGAATGAATACATAATATTTTGACAGTTCTTGACAAAACCAAAATTTGATCTAACCATGATCTGATACTTGAATAACCTTGCTATTGTCGTAGTTTTGGAATGTCAAATTCAGAAGTGACGTTTGGTTTGGCGGCCGCGAAGTTGCACTTGTGTGTACTTCGCGAAGTACTTCACGTACGATTGCATGAAAACACTCTTTTGAGGTATGTAACTACACAGTATGTGGAATACGAAATATGAAGAATGCAATACCAATACCAGTCCTGTCGCTCGTAGAAGCAAGGTAGAAAATGTAATCGAAAATGGATCAGGTTGTGATACAAAAAATTATTTGTCAAGAGCCGGGGTTCTATCTGGTTGTCAGAACTTGATTTAGGGGTTATGCTTGGAAGCGAGCGAGTATTAGACTAAGAAAATAATGAGAAACCAAACAATGACCAATGAGCAACAAAAAAAGTAATTTGAATAAAGTTCATGTCATTGTTATTGGCGTGTACCTGAAACAAGATGAGAATAACTGCCTATTATTATCCACACATAAACGCCCAGATCAGATATGAAAAAACCAGACGATGTTTTTATTCTCGAATCGTTCAAATTTTAAGCTATAACGGTATCTAATGTCAAATGTAATTGAAATCTACGTCTTTTCAAAACAATATTTCATTTCTATTGATCCAAATACCGGTGAAATTTCAATCATTGGAAATAAAGGCAGAAGCATTCTTGGATCCTTTGTTTTCCAAACTAACTATAAATAACATTAAATAAATACGCGAAGCTCAAACTCATTTCAACAAATATTCATAAATGAACGAAATTGTGGAAATGACTTTGGCTTCGTGTATTTATTCAACATTTCATTCCACTTTGAGCATTTTGGCTTTTTCTTCGTTGATATTTGACATTGACAAACAACATATATTCGACGAGTGACACTGATGGTAATGACAATAGTTGCTACCAACACAATAACACAAAATGGCTCATCCTTCTCAGTTCAAATCACCGACATATAACCCATTATTCAAACCACTACTCCCATAACACAATCATATCCTAATCAAGTTCAACGAGATAAAACTGGATCCCATGAAGCATGCGCATTCAGAACCTCTCATGTATCTTACTCCCTCTTACTCATCCCGGTCCGGTACAATAATATCTATTTTTTTGTATTGTTTATCGTTTCTGTGTTGAAGTAGGTAAATTCAATCATTTTTAAAGAATTTTGACGTTTCCGCCACAATGTTAATATTGTCTGAGGATTGAAGAGTTGATGGATTGATTGATGTCATGAATAAGAAATTTTGGAATTTTAAGTTCCATAAAAGTGAAATGAAATTGATTCGTTAGGCTTTTCTGATGGGGTTTGGATACAAGTGAACAACTTTGGTTTCGAAAATATAAAATGTGCCCTACTGGTTTATTACGGTGATTTCATGCATGACTCAACTGTGTCTTCACTTTAGAATAATCGATAATAATGGGTTTATTTCTAAAGTGAATTCTGAGTTCACCAATCACCTATAGTTTTCAAGATAGCACTAAGTAGTGCATGAATTCACCATGACGCTATGCAGATTGAAACGTAATCTGCAATATTTTTGCAAATATATTGTACATACAATTTCGAGTTCGACAGATAACATCCATTCAATGCCCAAATTAGCGTAAATTACATTATCCGTTGAGAACCCAATCAGACCAGAAGTGACTAAATCGGACCTTCTAAGATCAAATATTTTTTATTCAAAATATTGAAGTGTTTGACAGGGAAGCACTAAAAGAATTCAACACGAAATGATAAAATTATGGAACTTACCTCAATATTTGCTGATACAATTTTTGCTCTTCTAACAAATACAGAATGCCTTCTCTGAAGAAATGCATATGACATACCACTAAAGCCTGGGCTTTATCATACTTGACGTCAGGATTTTGGAGTAGCTTCAACATTTTCTGAGATAGCTTATACTTATCAGAGTCGTCTTCCAGGTTAGACCAAACGTGAAGATAGTGCTCAAGCAGAGTATTGTATACCAATGTACTCAAAATACATCCTTCTGTGATGAGATGCTCTAAAAACTCCACCAGCCTTTCAGAATTATTGAGAAATAAGTGAATGAATTCTTCAGGATCTGACTTGACCGTAACATCAAAATTTCCCGTTATCATGTTTTCCGAAATTATAGGAGCATTCATAGGTTTATAGTTGGTGCACAGCCTCTTAAGAAGTTCAGTGCTTCCAGCTGGTACATGTTCTATTAGTATGTTTCCGTATTTTTTCATGTAATGTTCTGCTTCTTCGAATTTCAGATTGGAAATATAATCAAGGACTTCGTTGTGCTTTTGATGATCTTCAATCTGGAGTTTAATGTACCAGTCGTGTTTTTCATGCTTTCTTGCAAGCATTAGGGCTTCTGCTGGGCTTCCCTGTCTGAATAGAGAGAATATTGATGAAACATCAACTCACTGAAACATAATCAACAGAATATAGATCCGGTTGTTCTAGTTATCACCTGCCAGAGGCAATGGGCCGTAGGCGATTTTTTTTGGATGTCAAGGTCAAATGCCTTAAAATCGCGATTTGGAACTTTTCCGGAGTGACAACATCATTATATCACATTTTATTCAATTTCATTTTCTCATTTTGTCATATTTGCTTTAAAATTATAAAAAAAAATATATGACAATTATTGGAAGAGCTTGCCCGCCTTGCAGACGCCACTACGTGAAACTGAAGTATTTCACTACATAATCATTTCTTGATTCATATTTGCGTTATGTAATTCATACTGGTAGTTCAGGTAGAGATAAGTCGCCAAGACGAGTTAGTCATTTATTGTATTTAGTACCGAGAGGTTACTATTAGAAATATAATTTTTCTACAAGCGTCAAAAAATGACAAGGTTAGCGCATTGATAACAAATTGCGAAGTGACACTTTTTTTCAGTTTCCTACGTTACCATGATACCTTGCCCAAAAAAATGCGCGAAGTGAAACAGTGCGCGAAGTACCTACTTCGCGCATTGTTATGTAAAATATATGAGATATTTATATTTCAACTTTATGGTCCTCAATCGAGCAAACATCCACGAAATCATTCATTTCTGAATGTTCAACAATAACTCTGTTTTATCTCTTGGAGCGCACGAAAGGAAATTCCAAATATGTTCGTGGAACATCGTGCGTACCTTGGGAGAATAGGGGGAGGCCTTTTAAGCCAGTTCAACACTATTTTTTATATCAAGCTAAGCATATTTTTACTTTAGAACTATATTTTTTTACGTTTGTAGAAAAAATGTTGTTTGCAACTCGAGCGCGAAATACTTTGGTCATCTCGACTATTTTTTCAACTCGGCTACGCCTCGTTAAAAAAATCAGATCTCGATCACCAAAGTAGCGCTCTAGATACAAAAATAACTATTATTCAAAGGAAACGCGTATCATTATAATCCTCTTTAACAGTAATATCATCGGATAATACTGATAGCAACAAGCTTAGATCAAGCTCTAATTTCATTTTTCACGATATACTCGTAATCATATTATCATGAGTGTGCCTTCTAAAAAAGTCAAACGTTGATTTTTTCCTTTGTTTTCAGTTCAGAGATTCGTATCTCACAGCTGTAGTGTATTGGATTATGCAATGAATAAAGATATTGGTATTCACTGAGTCACGGGAATGATACAGATATATGAATAACGGCAGTCGGTATTAGGCCGTGACACAGTGAAGACATAATAAGTGAAAAAGGTGTTTAATTTAATCTTCCCACTTCGATAGTGTTAAGAGTGATCAACAATAGACGCTACAACAGTCAAAGACATTATAGCCATGTTCACACTATACTCACCGTTTACATCATCGTTTTTCGCCAAAATATTTAATTGCCCTAGTTCGAAAATAGAAATGATTCGAATCAATTTCAATTGTCATTATATGGTGAAATATTTTTTCGCACGCTGAGAACGATGTGAGTAGCCCAGTAGTGCGATTTTGCATACTTTCCATAGCAGTCGTTTTATATGACTAGCAATATTAGTTAATTGATCAAGTGACTGATATTCATCATTGAACCAATCATTGCTGACAGCAATTGATACATGTTTACCCACCTGCATACTTTGATGGCAATGTCCACATCATAACTGAAATCGCCATCTTTGGACATAATAAACTCCTTCAAGCTATCAGTCTGGCCGCCCACAGTATTATTGAGTTTTGTATAGCAATTCAAGAGCAATGTCGTGTGATCCTCTGTGGCATGACCTTGTTTGTGCAAGGCTTGCAGATACAGCGTCAGTTTTTCTATGTGCTGGGAGTCGAGAAATTTACGAATAACATAGCTCGGTTCTAGTTTTCCTATTGTTTTTATATACTGTTCAATGGCGCCGGAAAAATCACCTAAAATATTTAAAGAAACTCAGGGTAGAAAAAAGTATTTCTATTGGTATATTTTGATATTGTGCATAATATGTCGGCGCCAATCAGTGAAATCCGTCATTCCCTGGAATGCCTAGTCATTTCACGTATTGCAGGCAAACAGCGTAACAGCGTAACTTCCATTTTCAGCCGTTACTTATTGCCGGAAGGTTGGGGAAGAAGAATATCTTTTCTGCATAAGCATAAAAAAGAAGACTACTTTCTCTCAACAAAATCTAACCAAACTCGGCCTAAATAAACCTTTCTCCTAGAAAGTATATTTTCGAAAAATAACTTGAGAGCACAAAAGAGACTACTGTTTCTAAACCTGACCTGACTCAGCCTAAATGAACCGTCCATCCGTCATTACAGGAAATATAGAAAATGCCTGAAACTGTTAGGTAAGAGGTGTACGAAATTTAGAGTTACGCTGTTTGACGGGAATATGTGAAGTGACTAGGTATTTCAGGAAATGACGGATTTCACTGTTTGACGCCGACACATACATAATTCCGTTGAAAGATCTATTCAGATTCAGATTTTACCTGCAAAATTCAGTGAAAATTGAAAGCTTGTAGTATTCTGAAAGTTGATACTGAATCGAAGTCAAAGTTTGAAATTATTTCCCACATGCAAGTCTTATTTGGAAGACGTACAAGTAATACTTTTGCTCTTGAAACTATCGACAGGATAACATTACTTGACAAATTGAAGGCATATGGTATTACTGGCAATGTATATAAATGGATACAGGACTAAACTACTCAACACTAATTTCGTCGCACACCAAAATGTCGCCCCTGTTATAATATGAATAACTTTTTTCAGTTTAGAACAATTTGAATTTGGTTCACACTGTTCGATAGCCCAGTCCTTCAACTATAATCTCGTACTCCATTGAAATATAAGGGTATTCACATAAAATCTCTACATGGTGTTTTCCGACACTGTGCAAAATTTCGGAATATTCAAAAGGCTCTCAAATGGTGAAAAAAATTTATTTCTCAACTTCGACAACAGAGGCATGAAGATGATCTCATTATCTCGAGATATTTCGCGAAACAACTTCCTATCTCTCTTATTTACAGTGATCTCAAAAAATCAACTTTTTGGTTTTGCAGCCATAACATTTTTCCACGTCAACCGATTTTGGAAATCTTAAGCTCATTTTGAAGATAAAACTTCAGATGAAGAGATCTTAATATCAGAATTGACTCAAGATGGCAATCAAAGATCTAGAGTTTTCTTGAAAGTGACCCAAATCTGGAACGCCCTCCAAATCTCGGTTGGGAGGATAATTGAATGAAAATCAACTTATTCTCGGAAAAACAATTCATTCTGGATGCGTCTATAGTTTCCTCGCTCTCAGTACTCAAGAATGTGCGTGAGAAAACACAATTGAAACATGTTCTTGCAAAAACATCAGACCATTTCTCCTCTGTAATGCATGGCACCAGCTGATTGTGAATTGGAAGTATGATTGTTGTTAGAGTTCGTCATGTTATCTTTGATTGATTTAATTCAAGGAAACAATTGATCACTATGTATATCATGGTTACGATATTTTTTCTTGAGTGATTTGTCATGTTATGAATTTATATTATTAAAAAGTCATTGAAAACTCCATATTTTAGTCCTTTTGATATCGAATAGCTACCAGGTAGGTGTTGTTCGTACATTTTGTGGCGACCGTGACAGGACTACTTGAAGAAATGGAGAAGATACAGAGACTTAGAGAGATTTATAGGATATCGTTTGAACGAGTTTATGAAGCTATAATTATAGAATTGCAATCACCGGATCCCGATTTCAGTATGATCCAAGGGAATTTTCGTCTTCTTGATCAGAAGATGGAGTCGATTGCAGATTTCGATAAACAAGTTCTCGATTTGTTGCTAGACGAAGATTCCATCGAAGAAAACATCGACCTTGAAATTGGAAAAGCTGATGAATTAATGAGCAAGTACAACACTCTGAAGTTCAGAGTCGAACGACGTATGAGCAAGGACTGCTTTGTCGATAATCCTAGTGCCGCTCCAAGTGTCTCGAGTCATACCAGTCATTTGAGGTCAGTTTTGAAGCTTCCTAAAATAGAATTCACCAAATTTGGTGGAGATATCAAGGATTGGCTGCTGTTTTGGAGCCAATTCAAGAGGATTAATGACGATGAGAGTTTGGAAAACGAAGACAAATTTCAATATTTGATACAGGCCACCATACCGAAATCTCGTGCTTACCAGCTGGTGAAGAGTTATCCTCCCATTGCGGAGAACTACCCTAAAGTAATCGATAGTTTGAAGTCTCGTTTTGGCAAAGATGAACTCCTGGTGGAGTTTTATGTTCGAGAGCTTTTGAAATTGGTGTTGAACAATTTGAATACGAAAGTTTCTCTCAGTACCCTTTTCGATAGGGTTGAATCACAACTGCGAGCTCTGGAAACACTTGGCGTTACATCTGAAAAATATGCAGCAATGTTGTTTCCATTAGTAGAATCCTGTTTGCCCGAAGATGTTCTCAGAGTTTGGCAGCGAAGTACAACTGATCATTCCGATTTATCTTCAGAAGGCATCTCGAATTCAGCTGATTCAAATACAAATTGTCGACTGAAGAAGCTGATGGAGTTTCTAAGAAGAGAAGTGGAGAACGAGGAGAGAATTTCTTTAGCAGTCTCCGGGTTTGACAATAAACCCAAGAAGAAGGAATTACCGAAAGAAGAATCCATCCCTACAGCATCTGCATTATTGAATTATAAGCAGCAGTCGGTGAAATGTATTTTCTGCAGAGAAAATCACCCGAACAATGAATGCAGTAGGGCTGATAGAATGAAAATACCAGAAATTAGGAAAATTTTGTCGGACAAAGGATGCTGTCATATTTGTATGAAATTCGGACACATTGCACGCAGGTGTAGAGTCAAAATTGAGTGTTCCGATTGCAAGAAACGGCATGCCACAATGTTGTGTCCCGGAAAAGATTCCATTCCTTCTGAGAAACATTTGTCTGTCAAAGAAAATCCAATTGTCGAAAATCTATCAAATCAGACACATGATGAAGTTTTCCTCCAAACCCTCCTCGTTGAACTTTATAATGATGGATATTCTCGTCAAGTGAGAGTTTTGATAGACACTGGCAGTCAACGTTCATATATAAATACATTCTCCGCATCGGAAATGGGATACGAAAAAATATCCGAAGAAACCATGACTCATGGACTTTTTGGAGGTTCCGAATCAGAAGTAGTGAAGCATGATTGCTACATGATCAGCCTGAGAAATCTGAACCAAGAATATGCATGTAACTTCCGAGCACTCGACCAGTCAGTAATTTGTAGCAATGTTATTTTTGTCAAAGATGGGACCTGGATGCGAGAGCTGCAAGATATGGATGTGAATATTTCCGATATCAAAGATGGTCCAGTTGAAGTGCTTATTGGTGCTGATGTGGCCGGAAAACTGTTCACTGGTAGACATCATCGACTGAAAGGCGATTTAGTTGCAATGGAGACGCTTCTTGGATGGACTCTGATGGGGAAGGTTCCAGTTCCTTATTCTGATGGTTTCTCTTCCACTTCTATGATAGTGACTTCATTCTTATGCAAATCCCACGATATTTCCGATTTATGGAAACTTGACGTACTCGGGATATCGGATCCAATTGAGAAGAAATCCAGAAGGGAAGCAGAAGAGTCAGTGATGAATCATTTCCAGGAGACAGTGTCTGTGAATCAAGAAGGAAGGTATGAAGTAGTCCTACCTTGGATAGAGGGTCACCCCCCTTTACCAACTAATTTTGATATCGCCATGAGAAGATTGGATAATCTGATGCTGAAATTAAAAGATGATGGATATTATGCGGAGTACAACAAAGTTTTATCTGAATGGTTGGCTGATGGCGTAATTGAACATGTTCCTGAGAATGAGGTGTGTTATGAAGGCCACTATTTGCCACATCGACACGTGGTGAAGCTGAATAGTGCCACGACAAAACTCCGACCTGTTTTTGATGCATCAGCGAGAATCAAGAATCACCCGTCTATAAATCAATGTTTAGAAAAAGGAATCAATCTGATAGAGCTGATCCCTTCTATATTGATTCGATTCAGGTTATATAAAATTGGTGTGATATCAGATATCAAGAAAGCATTTCTCCAGATCAGTGTTTGTCCACCCGATAGAGACTTCCTGCGTTTTCTGTGGTATGATGAAGATGGTCAGCTTATCTACTATAGACATACCAGAGTTGTGTTTGGTGTGACATGTAGTCCTTTTCACCTCGGAGCAGTGATCCAAAATCATCTAGCTAGGGCCCTGAATGAAGCGCACTCAGAAAAGTCTCGTTACTCTGTGACAGTTGTTTCGAGATTGTCAAAAAGTTTTTACGTGGACAATTGTGTTATTAGTCTCGACTCTCAAGAGGAACTCCAAACATTCATGAAACAGTCACGAGATATTATGAATGAAGGGAAATTCGATTTGCGTGGATGGGAGTGGACAATAACAGATAGAGAAGAACCTTGTGACACGTTCGTGTCACATCTTTTGGGGCTGAAATGGAATAGACTACAAGACACACTCGAGCTTAGTTTCGAGTGGTTTCAAGATATTCTATTGGAGAAAATTACAAAGCGATTAATGCTATCAGTAGCCAACAAGATTTTCGATCCAATTGGATTTTCTTGTCCCGTATCATTGATTCCGAAATTCCTTCTGCAGAAGATGTGGATTCTGAAAGTTGGTTGGGACGTTGAAGTGCCTGATGATATCAAAGGTACATTTCTAGAATGGCTCAAAAATTTGAGTATTTTAGTTGATTTGAAGATTCCCAGACGTTTGTCAAATGTGTCAAAATTCGATTTTTGGAGTTTACACATGTTTTCGGATGCGAGTCAAGATGCTTATGCAGCTGCAGTCTTCCTGAGATCGGAATCTGACGGAATAATACAGGTACAACTCGTACAATCGAAGTCCAGAGTTTCACCCGTGAAGAAGATGTCGATACCACGATTGGAATTATTGGCTGCGAACATTGGAGCGAGGTTGATATTTTCTGTTTTGGAAGTACTTGATAACAAAGATATTCCTATATTTTGTTGGACCGACTCGAGCACAGTTTTATCCTGGATCCGAAGGGAAGATCAGTGGAAAACTTTTGTATGGACTAGAGTTCAAGAAATAAGAACTCTCACAAAGATCGATAATTGGCATTTTGTACCCGGACAAATGAATCCTGCAGATTTGCCTTCACGAGGATGTTCTCCGAGACAATTGTTGGAGTCCAGATGGTGGGAGGGACCATTTTGGCTTTCAAAACCAAGGAGTGAGTGGCCTCTCCAGGATTATCAGGTAAATGAAGATGATGTTATTGGCGAGAGGAGCAAATCTGTCGTCTCGTCCTGTTTGAATATTCAAGAAGATAATGCTTGGTACTATCGATATTTTTCAAAGTATAGGAAAATATTGAATCTCATCGGATGGTTGAGACGATTTTGTTACAATAGTCACAGTGTAATGAAAAACAGAAGCCCCAAGTTAACATTAGGGGAGATTCAAGAAGCTGAAAAGTCATTGATGAAATTGATTCAAAGAGAAGCTTTCTCTGGAATCCATGATGATAGTTTTCGTTCCCTACAACCCTACGAGGATGCAGATGGCATTTTCAGACTGAAAACGCAGATTGTTGAACGAAATGATTCTCAAAATTTTCGACAACCTATCATCCTACCATCAAATCACCCTGTTGTTGCCAGAATGATATATGATTGCCATGTTGACAACTGTCACGTTGGCACTCAAGGTTTGTTGAGTATGATGCGAGAGAAGTTTTGGATTATACGAGGTAGAAAATCCATAAAATCCGTAATTTCCAAGTGTGTGATATGCCGTAGAAGCCAAGCGAAGAAATTTGATACACCTCCAGTTCCTTTACCTGAAAACCGAATCAGAGACGCGGCTGTTTTCGAGATAATCGGAGTCGATTTAGCAGGACCGCTGTTCATACGGAATAATGAAAAGGCGTGGATAATCATTTTTACTTGTGCAGTGTATAGAGCGGTGCATTTGGAAGTGGTCTCGAGTTTGTCTACAGACAGTTTTCTACAAGGTTTCCGTAAATTCATTAGCAGAAGAGGAAGACCAGCAATAGTCTATAGTGATAATGGTAGGAACTTCGTGGGAGCAGAGAATGCATTTGAAAAAATCAACTGGGACAAAATATCTGAGTATGGTGTAGTGGGAAGAATTCAATGGAAATTCAACCCACCGACTGCAGCTTGGTGGGGCGGTTGGTGGGAACGGCTGATTCGACTATTGAAACAACTGCTGAGAAAGACACTAGGAAGAGTATCTTTGACGTATGAAGAGTTATCAACAGTAATATGTGAATGTGAGTCCGTTATGAATTCCCGGCCCCTTACTTACGTGTCTGAAGACTCTCAAGATTTGATTCCATTGTCGCCCTCGATGTTTATACAAGAAATTAAACAAATTGGTGTTCCTGATATTGATGAAATCGATGCTGAAGGCTTGAATAGGCATTTACGATATCGACTCAAATTGAAAGAAGACTTGAGAAAGCGATTCAGGAGCGAATATCTGAGTCAGTTGATAATGCGTCCCAAGAAATGTAAATCAAATGACGTGAAAGTTGGAGATGTCGTTTTGGTTGGGAATGAAACATCAAAACGGTTCGATTGGCCTCTAGCCTTAGTTGAAGAAGTTTTGCCTGGTAGAGATGGCAAAATTCGTGTGGTTCGCCTGAAGACTAGTTCTGGATACATTATGAGACCGGTTCAGAGGTTGTTTCCGTTGGAAGTTCATTCAGATCAAGAAGTGCGACGGTTGAGAAGTGATGTGAAAATAGGAAGAGCGAAAGATAGTTCTACAGAACAGGAAGTACATGATGATTCTGTGAAATCGAATGATACCGAACAAAATCATGTTACCACTCGCTCTGGAAGGAAAATAAAACCTCCTGCGAGATTAAATCTATAACAAAGTATGTGTCAGATTTCATCAAGAGACACATACGGTGGGAGGATGTTAGAGTTCGTCATGTTATCTTTGATTGATTTAATTCAAGGAAACAATTGATCACTATGTATATCATGGTTACGATATTTTTTCTTGAGTGATTTGTCATGTTATGAATTTATATTATTAAAAAGTCATTGAAAACTCCATATTTTAGTCCTTTTGATATCGAATAGCTACCAGGTAGGTGTTGTTCGTACAATTGTGATATGTCATTGTGAAGGTAATTCTATACCGAATTGTAATTTCCAAACAAAAATAATACTTCCTATTTGAAATATAAAAATTGGATGCGCTTCCGGTCAAACCGGAAGTGACATATTTGGATTGATACATGCTAAATTGTACATTCATAACATCAAATCGAAGTACCGAATTTGAAACATCCATACAAAATAACAACGAAGATACAGGGGGGTAAATTGGTTCCGGGTCACCCGGTATAGTTAAGAGAACTACAATTTGATGACCTGAGAGAAGCATCCACCAACATCTGCTCCTTTCAGAGGTCACAGCCTCACCACAGGATGATGGGTTTAACAAAAATGTATAGAAGGATATTCACCCACCTTTATCACATAGATGATCCCCATACTGCTTGAAAATATTCACCAATCCATCTGAATCATACTGTTGGGATTTGGCAATACGTATTGCAACATCATACAGATTTTTCTTAAACAGAAGAGACAACTTCGATTGTAAATCCTTTTCGTCCAGATGATAGAGCTTATTATCCTCGTCGATAATATAGAAGGCGCCCCATTCGCTGAAAACTGCCTTTATTTTCGGCATTGTTGTGGAAAATACGATGAATTTATTGTGTATGTCAAGGACGGTTATGAGGTTGCATTCAGCAGCATTTTGAACTTCATTAGTCATTGTCGTGATGGTTGAAGAACGTGTAACTTTGGATATTATAATAAGGTACGTTCGGAACCATTCTAGCATTACCTTTTCACCATCTACAGCATAACAAGGACCTCTTCCATCAGATGTATAACAGTAAATTGCCTAAAAATATTGGAAACAATGAAAATGAAGAGAATCACGTGAAATGATACTCAATGATTCTAATTAATCATAATAGTCAAGTTCTATATACAGAATAATTTGAAATGTAAAAACTTCACAAACGATAAGATTTCCACAAAATTCTTAATCACACGACCTGTTTTGCTAACACAGTAGCTTCATCAGGTGAAATACTGGTACATTGTACCGGGTGTACCACTAAGAAACTATTTGCCGCACAGGTTTCGAAAAAAAAAACATGAATGATAAAAGTGGCCAAGAGAAATCTCTGGAAATTATTTTCAAGTTTCCAGGACAGCCCCTAGAGGGCGTAATTGCATTGGCCAGTTTACTAAACGGGATTTTATGAAAATTTGATATATCAAGACATATCAAAAACACTTTTTTCATGTTCTCTAGTTGATTTCCAATCATTTCGATCAAAAAAATTGCGCTAGCTCTTTAAATGAAAGAGGGAGGGATGGATGAATAGTACTTTGAAAAAACTCCCTGGTTTGGTGTAACGGAATTCAACGATTTTGGTCTGATTATGAAGGGTTTTTTTGGTTCCTCCAGATGAATCACGAATCAAGTCGATTTAAATCCTGTGGTGGCCGCTAGATGGCATCGTTTTAAAAATCAGACAATTTTCCATTTTTTTCGAAAATTTCAAATGAAACCATATATTCATTCTACTTTAATATGAAAGTAGAGCAATCAAGAAGAAAAATGGTGAAAACCGTGAATTGATGCCTCTTGAGGAACCGGTGAAATACTCGAAATAATATTATGAAAATATTCACCACAGGAATCTAACTTCAATAATCGTCATCAGAAATATCCTGTATCTATGAAATGACGATTTCAATAATTCATTTATTTTAGTTTCACAAGCTGCTGTTATATCTCAAAATAGTGAAGGAAACTCTTAGTAACGACATAGCTAATTGAAATATAAGTAGTGAGTATAGGCTTAGTAATGAGAAAAGGCAAGTTGGCTTTGAATGAAAGAAACGTCAAAATATAATTGAAGTTCCATTGAAAGTTTTCACTGTGGATTGCTTATTTGTCAAAATGCCGATAACGAATGAGGAGGCATTTGACATGCTAACAGTTTAAATTTTAATATTATTCCGAGTATTTCTCCGGTTCTTCAAGAGGTATCAACTCGCGGTTTTCACCATTTTTCTTCTCGTTCACTTCACTTTCATATCATAGCAGGAAAAATATATGGTTCCATTTGAAATTCTCGAAAAAAAAAATGGCAAATCGGCTGATTTTTCAAACGATGCCATCTAGCGGCCACCACGGGATTTAAATCGACTCGATTCGTGATTTATCGGGAAGATCTGAAGAAACCCTTCATAATGAGACCAAGATCGCTTAATTCCGTTACACCAAACTGTAGTAATAAGAGTTTTTCCAGAGTTCTATCCATCCTTCCCTCCCTCTTTTATTTAAAGAGCTAGCGCTATTTTTTTGATCGAAATGATTGGAAATCTACTCGAGAACACGGAAAATGTGTTTCTGATATGTCTTGATATATCAAATTTTCATAAAAACCCGTTTTTTAAGTTGGTTAATGCAATTATGCCCTCTAGCGGCTGTCCTGGAAACTTGAAAATAATTTACAGAGATTTTTCTTGGCCACTTTTATCATGAATATTTTTTTCCGAAACCTGTGCGGCAAATAGTTTCCGAGATACAGCCGGCGTCCTTTCTTAGTGGTACACCCGGTACAGTATTTATGTACCAGTATTTCACCTGATGAAGCTACTGTGTTAGCGAAACATTTCGTGTGATTAAGAATTTTGTGGAGATCTTATCGTTTGTGAAGTTTTTACTTTTGCTATGGATTTATTTCCATCAAGTAACGGCCGAGTCAATTCAAATTTTGTGTAATTGGTTTAATTTATGTATGTAGGTACGCAGAAAATGTATAATCATACTCACATCATTTCTACCTATCATGAAATGACTTTCTTGCATAGATTCTGCAAGCACGCTGCATTTCTTGCCAGAGCCTATATTATCCAAATGATACTGGAATACACAAAAATTGATTAGTTACATTGTTACACTATGTTGCTCAGATACTACCTTCTGTTCCTTATCCTTCTGTGAGATATTGTAGACAATAACTGAAGACTCTGTTGCAACAAATAAATATACATTAGCTGCTGTAGATTTGAACGCTAGTCCTGTGATAACAGAGTTCGATGTTTTGAATACTTTTTGTTTTGAACTGCGATCTCTCGTAATGTCACCTCTAGATGGAAAAAAAATCATTTGACCAAAGAACATGAAATTACTAATGATATTTATAAAGTTCCAAAAATGTTCTCATATCCAACTAACACTACTAACGGGTAAAGAGTAAATCATTCTGAACAATGGAAACAAATACACAGATATTTCTCCATTTAAATTATTCACACTCTAAAAGGTAAGGCCCTCGTCATTCCTTGCTCGCACAAGACTCTCGAAGACTTCTGAGGGTTGCTCGTAAGGGGGCAACCGAATGACGGATAGAACAACAACAACAATTCGTTTTTTTGTGGGATAATTCCTTAAACACAACTGTTCTTTGAATAGGAATGGGTATAATCAAAATACAGATGACTGCCCCTCATTCAGTATGAGAGGGAACAATATAACACCGACCATTCTATTCAGGAAAATGCCCCAAGTCAAATTTCCTACTAGAATAGACTGAGAACAGAATGGGCACTGCATTATACTCACCAAGGGCATCATCTGGTATACAGATGGCTCCAAAATAGAAGAATGCGCAGGTGCTGGGGTTTATTGGCAGTCCCCAAGGGTAGATCATTACTATACCATTAAGAAATATGCCAAGATTTTTCAGGTTGAAGTATTCGCAATACTTGCCTGTGTTCAAGATAATATCGAAAGGGGCTATCACAGCCATCAAATCACCAGATGCCCTGACAGCCAGGCAGCGATCAAGGCACGCACCTCTTATAGAGTGGTATCAAAGTGCATAGAAAGCCTAAAAAGGCTGTCGGCAACGAAAAAATCATGTCTTCTGTGAGTCCCTGGCACTCAGGGGTAGCTGGTAACGAAATGGCCGATGGTCTGGCCAGAAAGGGGGCGAAGGACTCAGTGATTGCTACAGAGCCAGTCTTGGGGGTCACTCGATCCGGGAGCAACTTCAGTATGAAGGGAATCATGATGGAAAGGTTTCAGGGCTGCTGGAGAGAGAGGCTCCTGGAATATGGCGTCCAAACTTACAGGAAAGACCAATGCCCTCTTGGCTTTTGAACACGAAGTATTTGAAATTGGTGGTGGGCCCTCTGACAGGACACTGCCACTTAAACAAGCATCTCAGCACGATCGGGATTGGACAGGATCCTGAATGCAGATGGTGCTAAGAGGATGAAAATACTTATATTCACATCCTCACTGAATGCCCGGCAGTAGTGACAGTACCTTTTGCTCGCGAGATTGGCCTTTTCCATACATACAAACATAGAGGAAAGGATTAGACGACTGTCTAAGTCAAGGATGAAATTGTAAATTTCTTTGGGTATGCAGTCAAAGTAAGACAAAGTGTACTATTGTGTCTGTTCAAGATGTCGAGTCTTCATTGGCTCTTCATCAGGAAATCTATGAAACATTACCATTAGACTTTCTGATAAAGAGAGCCAATGAGAACTCGGACGCTTGAAAATAAATAAGAGTACACTTTGTTTTACAGTTTTATACATACATATATAGGAATTATAACATTAACATTACTAGCTCGAAAATTAGATGAGATACACAAGTGTAAAGTTGAAGTTACTGTTTTTTCCAGGGAGTTGTGTAAATTCGCACAATTCTCAACAAAACGTGTTTACTGACGTAGTTCACGACCATCTACCCTCAAGAACGCTTTAACCAATAATTCAATGAATAAATGCTAACACCTGTGTATTTTAGACCAAGATAATCTAAATTTTGCTGAATTATAGCTGATATCAAAGTACCTCTGGCTGGCTCGGATAATTATTTCAATTAGTTCAGCATGGAAGGATTATGATTATGATTTTCACTATGTGATAATGAGCCTGTTTTGGTGAAATATTTCATTGCATTATTTTGAATTACTGAAAAACTAGTTCATTAATTAAATAAAAGATTGTTATTCTCATTAAAAAATATATATTCCTGATGACTATAAATAATAAATGACTGTATCAAATACTATTAATAGACATGGAACTATCAATATTAAATAGATATGAGACAAAGTTTTGACTAGTGTGTACAACCCCCCATTGATGAAAAATTATGTGGTGCCATTTGAATTCCCTTAGAGGTGTCTGAAATTGGAACAGGAATAGCATCCAATCAGAACTTAAACTTCCTCTTTAATATGTGAATTGACTTCTTTTTCTCAAAATTGTTATCCCAGCAGATTGAAAGTTATTTAGGATGGATAGTTTTGAAATGAATATTCTGTTTATTATTTCTCCACTATCATATCTCTACTATTTTTTACTATGAGAGATGTGAGTGCGACCGACAATTCAATTAGTGATTTGATTGATTGATATTGATTATAGTAATTGATCGTTTCTAGGAAATATATCGTTTTTTGTAATATTAGCCATTGTATCGGTTATCAAGACTAATATTACCATAACCTAAGCCAATTTGTTTTTTTGATGTCAATTCATTTGAAGAACTCTTCTGATTCAATGAATGAGAATATCAAAAAATATTAGTGAAGAACGTAGTGTATTCCATGTCATATACTAATTATTTATTTTCTACCTATAAAGAGTTAGGGATCCATCGATGAACCCTACTGCCAACAATTGTAAACCTTCATGTACGCATAAAGCACTGGATTGTACTGGTCTGTTGCCAGGTATTGCTCTAGTGATTCTGTAACAGTAAGGAACGCCATTTTTGTCTAATCTACTGGTATCCCAAACTTTAATCAATGGATTGACTCCTGGCTCATCTTGCTAAAAACATCCAGGTATCGAAATTCAATCCAGTTCAAGTATACAAGGTTACTGGTAATTCGATACATTCCTTTGGAGATGTGATAGAGGACGGGGTAAGGAGTGAATTTATCCCCTTATATGCATTATGCAGAAGTTAATGGTTCTTAAGATACTTTTTTTTTCTGTTTTTCTCCAAAAAGTAGACTTCGAGTATTAAAAGTTAGTTTCTCGAAAATCTCCTGTACATTCTTTCGACCTTTCAACTAGAATACATGATCTACACTATGATCTTGAGTTTGAGATGAAAAAAATCTAGAAATAATTCAGTTCATAGATAAATTTAAAATAAAAACTCGTATTTTGTTTGTGAATTGTGGATTTTAACACTTTCTAGCGGTTATTTGAAAATAAAATCTCTAAGGCACATTTGTCAAAACTTGTTGAGACTTCCTTGAGGCCACTGGGTACAAATGAAACTGAAATACGGGTTTGGTATTTTAAACGAATAGTGGAAACATACTTGAAAAATGTCTATAAGTATTCATTTTTGGCGATACAGGAACACTTTATTTTCGTTCATTTTCTCCACAGGCATCCAAAAAGTAAAACGAATAATCATAACCTCCATTATTGGGCCGAAGAAAACCCCCGTTTAAACGAGAAAAACTAGTTTCTAACAGAAGTTTTCTGTAAATATGTGGATGGGACTCATTGACCAATATTTGATAGCACCACATTTTTTCGTAGACAATTTAAACGGGGGAATGCATGAACATTTTCTACGGCATGATCTACAGGAGCTTCTTGAGGATGTTTATCTCGCCATCAGAAAACGAATGATATTCCAACGAGACGGTTGTCCAGCGCATTATCGGCTGATCCTGGATGAACGTTTTCCTAACCGTTGGATTGGAAGGTCAGGTCCAATAGGTGAGCCAGCGCGAAGCCCTGACCTAACCCCCCGTGATTTTTTTGTGTGGGGTCATATGAAAGCGCTAGTTTCTGAAATCCCAGTAAATACCCATGAAGAGCTCATACAAAGGATAACCGACGCTGCCGTGCACATAAACAAATAATTTGACAACTAGAATATCGAAGACGGAAATAAGAAGAAGTTGACGAGCATGTATTCGTATTAGAGGCTATCACTTTGAACAGGATTTGTAAAAAGTGAATACTAATAAAAAAATTTCAAGTAGGTGTACATTTTTACTATTCATTTGAAATAACAAACCCGTAACAAGCACTTTTAGTATCATTTGTATACCGAGTTAAATAGCTATCGCCTTAAGGAAGTTTTAACGAATTTTTGACAAATTTAATATTTACAGTTTATCTATGAACTGAATTATTTGTGGAATTTTTTCAATTTCAAACATAAGACCATAGCATTGATAATGCATTTCAGTTGAGAGTTTGAAAAAATGTACTGTAGATTTTCAGAAAACCAACTTTTGAACCCAAAAAGTCTACCTTCTGGAGAAAAACAGAAAAATTTACATCACATCACATCTCCAAAGGAATGTATCGAATTATTACCAGTAACTCTGTATAATACCTATACTTACACCAACTGTAACCAGTAATGGAGAATTCCTCAACTGCTGACAAAGATCTACACAAATTTCGTAACTTCTAAAGCTGATAACATGCCAAGATCTAGTAATCAGATAAATCTGACCAAGTGAATCACTTAATACTAAGTGGTTGTTGCCACTGGAAGTAGTAGTTATTTTATTTTCCTAAAAAAAAAATCGTGTGTATACATTTTATATGGTTGTGTTATGTATTATTGATGATCTAATAGTATGATACTACTAGACAGACAGATCAGTCGTGCGATCTTTACCAAATTTGTATCGGTACTGATAATGATCAATATGACCAGTTCTTCAAAGACAAACATAATTTTAGACAGTGCCCTGCATTTTTATTGAAATGAATAGGGGTATGTTTTTTATCAAATCATATTAGGCATTTTTTCACAGGAAAACTGACCTCATAATATTGTTCTTCATAGTTTCAAACCCACATATGTGGATTTTCATAAGATGCCTATGAAGGGTTTCAGAAAAACAGGCACATCTAAACAGCATTTTTGCGAACGTAATAATTATTTACTCGGAAACGGTGAGTTCAACATAAAAAAGTATAACTCGTTTTTCCTTCCAGATCATGGTTTTCCACCTACCGGAGCCATTGAACGTTCCAAAATTCGTAGTTGATTTGAAGTCACTATTTATTCGAGACTGAAAATGAAAAAAATTAAGCCAATCCTGTTAATTCGGAATTAGGTAATTTTTTGCATATGGAGGTTCGAAAGCATGAGGAACAATAATATGAGGTTAGATTTTCTGTGAAAAAATGCCTAATATGATTTTATGAAAAATAGTACATAGTACGAAGTACCTACTTCGCGCATTGTTATGTAAAATAAATGAGATATTTATATTTCAACTTTATGGTCCTCAATCGAGCAGACATCCACAAAATCATTTATTTCTGAATGTTCAACAATAACTTTGTTTTTTCTCTTGGAGCGCATGAAAGGAAATTCCTATTATGTTGGTGGAACATCGTGCGTACCTAGGGAGGATAGGGGAGACCTTTCAAGCCAGTTCAACACTATTTTTTATATCAAGTTGAGCATATTTTTCCTTTAGAACTATATTTTTTGACGTTTGTAGAAAAAATGTTGTTAGGAACTCGAGCGCGAAATACTTTGGTCATCTCGACTTTTTTTTCAACTTGGCTCAGCCTCGTTAAAAAAATCAGATCTCGATCACCAAAGTAGCATTTCGCGCTCTAGATACAAAAATAACTATTTTCTACAAGCGTGCGTAATTAACCCCATACCAAGAATAACTTTCCGCACTTGTTAGGAAAATTACTATTTACTATCATGCATGTGGGAAATACTTATATTGAACATAAGTATTTATCAAACTATACATCTGGGAAGGCAAATGTGTGCATAACGAGAACTAAATTTCGGGATGCTGATAATAATTCAATGTTAATGATTATTTTCTTCAAAGGTATGATTTTGAACCAATCAGAACGTTCAAATGAGTTGAGCTACCTTGCATAATTTCGAATACAGTGTGTCCCACTTACCATGCTCACCATGGGTATCTTTTCAACGGTGAGAGATACGAGGTCGGTTAAATGACCTCGTATACCGTTAAAAAGATACCCATGGTGAGCATGGTAAGTGGGACACACTGTATACGTGGATATACATAGAGTAACTCCACCAATCAGGGCCGGACTGAAGGTACAAAACGGGTCGGGCGTATTTCCCAAAGCAGGCCAATTTACCTGTCAAAAAGTGTGTGACGTTGCAGGCGTTTTTTTTCTCAAATTTCAAGGTCGACTGCTTAATATATGAAATGATAGAATATTCACCACCAAAAATATCGAGACTTCGTCAAGTATGTGACGTTGAGGTTTAGGGCGCACATGCGCAGAACATAAGATAGGTCACGACAGTAACATGAATAGGAAAATGAGCTCTCTTCTGTCGGGTCCACCAAGCAAGCAACATGATCAGATGTCTGTGATATTAGTAATAATAAAATCCGTATAGTGTACCACGATTAGTGTGTTTCATTGGAACAGAAATTACCGGGCATTAATTATGTAACTATTAATACGTTACAATTTGGCGACGAGTGAAAATTCGGATAATTCGTGAAACACGTGGCACGCGGTCGTGAAAGAGATAAGAAAATGGCCGCCGGTATAATTGGTAGTGTCCATGAATTTAATGGAATATCGGACGATTGGATCATCTATAGTGAGCGTTTGGAACAGTATTTCTGCGCGAACAAAATAGAAGACGTTAAAGTTAAACTCGCGACTTTAATCAGTTTAGTAGGTGATTCCACGTATAAGTTGTTAAGAGACTTGTGCCATCCGAGACTACCCAAGGAAAAAACATACGAAGAACTGTGTGAAATGTTGGAAAAACAGTTCAGCCCGCAGACATCAGAATGGAGAGAACGGATAAAATTCTACGACTCGAGGCAGCAAAGCTCGGAATCAATTAGTGAGTGGTTCGCGAGAATAAAAAACTTGTCAGTAAATTGCCAGTTCGGAGCGGCATTGGAGACCGTATTAAAAGACAAATTTGTCTCTGGCTTGCAAAAAGGGAAGTTGTTGGACCGTCTCTGCGAGGAAGGAGTGGAGAAGCCGTTGGATGAAATGGTGAAGCTAGCTTCCAAGAAAGAATCCGGTATGAAAGAAGAAAATCTCCAACATTTTTCAAAATTCCCGCCAAGAAGGAGGAGCCAACAGCAGCAGCGCCACCAGTGGGCAAGGTCAGAAACCAACACTGGTAGAGGGGCGACGCAGAATCGACACCGACAGGGGGCCGGGACATCAAATGTCATAAGTAAAATGGCGGAAACTGACAGTCATCGAAATGGATCAAATCTAAATGGAAATGGAAAGTTTCAAAACAATAGAGAATGTATGGTGTGTGGTAAGAAACATCTGGGAAAATGTAAGTACACGAACTATTTTTGTGATAAATGCAACAAAAAGGGCCATCTTGCCAAAGTTTGCAGAGCAAATAGACATTTTACCAATTTTATTGAAGAAGATTGGATGGAATCTGGGGGAGACCATAGACTGAGTAGGGTGGTCGATGGGGGCTGCCCTCAGGGAAGTTGCCTCTCTCCCCACCTATGGTGCTTGGTCATGGATGAACTCCTGTGCAAGCTCACCCAAGAAGGTTTCGAGGCGCAGGCATACGCAGACGACGGATTGGTTCTGGTGAGCGGCCGATTCCTAGGGGTTGTCTGTGAGCGTATGCAGGTAGCCTGCAGGATAATCGAAAGATGGTGTGATGAAGCGGGGCTCTCTGTTAATCCGACAAAAACAGAGATGATCCTATTCACCAACCGAAGGAAAAGGGACGGGTTTAAACCACCTACTATGTTTGGCCAAGAGTTGGAGTTAGTCCAACAGGTCAAATACCTAGGCGTCGTCTTGGACCCAAGACTCTCATGGAGGCAACACGTAGATAGGATCGTGCAAAAGTCGGTGGCAATTCTTTGGCAACTAAGGAGGGTTGTTGGGAGAACTTGGGGTATTAACCCCGAGATCATGCGCTGGCTATACACAGCGGTCGTAAGACCAAAGATTCAATATGGATCAGCTGTGTGGTGGCCAGGTGCAGAAACCAGCACAATCAGTCGAAAGCTCAGTAAAGTTCAGAGGATGGCCTGCCTGGCGATCACAGGAGCTATGAGGACGACGCCAACTGCAACCCTAGAGGTACTGCTGGGGCTGCCGCCGCTTCCAATCTGGATTAAGAGGGAAGCAATGGCGGCCTATCTGAGGATGCGGGACTCGGGGAGTTGGGCTAACGGAGGAGCAGTGACAGGTCACGCGGGAATTGCGACATGGGTGGAGCAGGAGATCCCTATCTCCACCCTAAGAGTGAAGAACGCCCAAAATAGGCTGAGATGGAATAGAAGGTTCACCCTCACTATTCCAAGCAGGGAACAATGGGAAGAGAACAGAGTGGAATTCCACCCGGGGAGTCTAGTATGTTATACGGACGGATCGCGCCTAACTGACAAACAGGACTCAGGCGCAGGAATTTACTTAGAAGGATTAGGCATAAGGGAGAGCTACGCTCTTGGAAAGTATACCACAGTTTTCCAGGCCGAGGTCTTTGCCATTCTGGCAGTAGCGGAGAGGCATGAGGTGAAAGAGGGACCAGAGCAGAAGATTTACATCTGCTCGGATAGTCAGGCGGCTCTCAGGGCTGTCTGCCATCCTAAACCAAGCTCAGCCTTGGTGCAGGAATGTGGCGATGCTCTTGAGAAACTAGCTGAACAGAAGGAAGTCGAACTAGTATGGGTTCCGGGGCACAGGGGGGTGCCCGGGAACGAGGTGGCCGACGAGCTGGCTAGAATCGGATCCGCGACACCGTTCTGGGGGCCGGAGCCTGCACTGGGCATAACAAGAAGCCAAACTTCGTCTGCCCTTGACAAATGGGCGGACGAGGCACTAGAAGTATATTGGAGGCGTATAGGCGGCTGCAGGCAATCGAGAGACCTGGTGGCCGGTCCTAGCAAGCCAAGGACGGCTTGGTTGCTGGGCAGGGATCGCCAAGTCCTGCGCCTCCTTATAGGGATACTAACAGGGCATAACAGGTTACGCAGACACCTATCACTCATAGGTGTGGAAGATAGTCCCACTTGCCGCGAATGCGGAGAAGATGAGGAGACATCACTTCACTTCCTCGGAGAGTGTGAGGCGTATGGAAGGATGAGATTCGAAATCTTTGGAGTAGATAAACTACAACAGGAAGACTTGGTCGAATTAGAGTGGACGGACATCCTGACCTTCATCAGAAGGACGGGAAGGTTCGAAAAGGACAACTAAAAGAGGGATGTGTAGATATGTGGAGAGCAGGGGTTGGCAAAAAGGGCCCATGGGGGCCTACTTGCCTGGCTACAGCCTCCCCACAATACTACTACTACTACTACTTGGATGGAATCTGAACAAGTTAGTGATCATGAACAAATTTTCGCAATCAACCAGCGCCATCAAAATCACAATAATTTTAAAATCAATCTAGTAATGGACAACAAAGTGCATAATGTTCAAGTAGACAGTGGTGCAAGCATAAGTGCATGTAGTGAACTTATGTATAATAACTACTTCGCGAAATACAGACTAAAACAAGACTATTCAATATTAAAAGGTTATAATGGCGAACATT